CACTCTCCTCACCTCCTCCCCCTCTCACTCTCCTCACCTCCTCCCCCTCTCACTCTCCTCCCCCTCTCACCTCCTCCCCCTCTCACTCTTCTCACTCTCCTCCCCCTCTCACCTCCTCCCCCTCTCACCTTCTGTGGCAGTGAGGCCGGATGGTTTTCTACGATCAGTCTCTTGAGGTAGTGAACCCACAGTCGTTTCTCCTCCTGGTTCTTGGTCTGCAGAACGTCACAGGAGGAACAGGAACAATGGAACATTATGTTTTAATAAATTATATCATATTATAAATTATCATTATATATTAATAGATATGAATATTTCTTCATGTTCCTGTGGCTTCTGCTTCCTCACCTGGACGACGTGCTGCAGTTTGGGAATCGTCTGGTCCGACACTTTGAAACACAGCGGATCCTTCAGCGTCTCCACCAGCAGCAGATTACAACACTGCCACACGGAGACAGAGACAGAAAGACGTGAAGGTCACGGACGTGTTCCACTGGAGACACAGTGAAACCAGGAGCTTTATCTGGACAAACTTACAAATATATGTGTGCTGTAGACAAACTGTTCCAGCCTCTTCTTGGCGATCAGCAGCATCTTATCGAACAGGAAGAACGCTCGCTCCTTCTTCACCCTCAGGACCTTGAAGGAACCTTCCAGAACCAGCTCTCCAAACCCGCTGAGGTCCGGCCCGCTCCAGTTCACCAGCAAGGACTCGATTTCCTGTGAGGAGGTGAAAGGTCAGAGGTTAATCTGAGAGAGCTCCTGACATGTCGTCCATCATCATCATCATCTTCACTCCAGCTGCTGTGTCTGAACCTCCTCCATGACATCATCCAGCAGAGTGACTTCACCCACAGTTCATGACATCATACTCTCCGTCATGGACCACGCTGGTCTAACAACATTTATGTCTCTGCACTAACTTTGTCTAATTCTGAAGTCAGAACTTTCAAACTCATCCCACCACCGTCGTCGTGAAGAGGAAGAGGAAGAGGAAGAGGGAGCGTCACCAGGCACTGACGCCTCCTCGTCATCAGAGTCCAGAGAAAGAAAACCTCTGAGTGTGTCGTCTTAATTTAGATTTAAGAATCACTTCGCTGGTTTGAACGTTTCACCCCCCCCCACTGTCCCAACCGCTGCTGAAAGGTCAGAGGTCAGCGCTCGTGTTCTTCCTGCTCCGTGAACCATCAGAGGTTAAAGGTCAAACTCATGAGACTCAGGTCGGCTGCAGCCCAACAGCTGAACTATGTCCCAAAACATGGAACCTCCACTTCTCTGCAGCAGTTTGACACCACAAGGTCACAGACACGACCTCTGTCTGTCACACACACACACACACACACACA